AATGACTGGGAATGACTGGTCACTATGACACACACTGACCACCAGGGGGCAGACATTCAATGCAGGAGCTGCCCCGTGGTGGTCAGTGCACTCCCACAGGGGGAGCTCTGCTCTGCCACAAGCCAGGCTGATGGCTTCCAGCACAGCAGTGATGGCGGGAGCCTCTCCTGCCTCCTCAGGAGCGCTAAGGATGTCCGACTGCAGCTTAAGCCTAGTCCCCGCTGGCAAATGGACATCCCCTGAGGGCTCCTAGACTGCCAGAGGGATGGCTGACTGCCTGCTTGGACCCGATCACCCAGGGAGCGGGCCTCAGCCAGCAGGTGGACATCCTCCGAGGGATCCCAGACTGCGAGAGGGCACAGGGCCAGGCTGAGGGACCCTCCCCCCCCGCCACCCCAAGTGCACAAATTTTTGTGCACCGGGCCTCTAGTGTGTGTGTGTACATACACACACACACACACACACACACACACACACATATATATATGTGTATATATCACATCTTCTTTATCCATTCATCTATTGACAGACATTTGTGTTGTTTCCATTTCTTGGCTTTTGTAAATAATGCTGCAGTGAACATGGGGGTGTTGATATCTTTTTGAGATTGATTTTATTCTTTTGCATATGACTACCTAGTTTTTAAGAGACTGCCCTTTCCCCATTTTAAATTTTTGCCTCCTTTGTAGATTAATTGGCCATATATGTATGATTTCATTTCTGGGCTCTCTATTCTGTTCTGTTGATCTGTGTTTCTGCTTTTATGCCAATACTATATTGTTTTGATTATTATTGTTCTGTAATATAATTTGAAATCAGAAAGTATGATGCCTTCAGCTTTGTTCTTTCTCAAGATTGCTCTGGCTATTTGGGTCTTTTGTGCTTCCATTCAAATTTTAGGATTGTTCTATTTTTGTGAAAAATGTCATTGGAATTTTGATAGGGATTACATTGAATCTGTAGACAGTTTTAGGTAGTTTGAACATTTTAGCAATATTAATTTAATCCATGAGCACAGAACATCTTTCCATTTATTGTGTTGCCTTCAATTTCTTGCATCATGACTTAAAGTTTTCAGAGTACATGTCTTTTTCATCTCCTTGGTAAAATTTATTCCTAGGTATTTTATTATTTTTGATGCAGTTGAAAATGGGATTGTTTTCTTAATTTCTTTTTCTGATAGTTCCTATTAGTGTATAGAAATGCAACTGATTTTTGTATATTGATTTTTTTCCTGCAACCACGGGGTGAGGCAAAAGTAGGTTTACAGTTAAGGGTATGTGAAACAGAGTCTATTCTTATATTATTATTTATAAATGATTGTATTATTTTCCAAATGAACAGTTGTAAACCTACCTTTGCCCACCCCTGTATACTGAATTTGTATGGTAGTTCTAATAGCTTTTGATTTTTTTGTTGAGTCTTCAGGGTTTTCCTATATATAATATGTAGTCTAAAAAGAGGTAGTTTTGCTTTTTTCTAATTTGGATGCCCTCTATTCTTTTTCTTTTCTTTCCCCCTCCTCCTCCTTTTTCCTAATTGCTCTGGCTAGGATGGTTAGTATTATATTGAACAAAAGTGGCAAGAGTGCCTTGGCCAGTGTTGCTACGTGGTTAGAGCTTTGGCCCATGCACCTAAAGGTAGCAGGTTTGATTCCTGGTCAAGGGGGCTACCTGAGTTGCAGGGTTGTTTGGTTCCCTGGTCGGAATGTGTAGGAGGTAACCAATCAATGAGTCTCCCTAACTTTCTCTCTTCCTTTCTTTCCTTCCTTCCCTAATGCCCTCTCTCCCTTCCATTCTCTATAAAAAAAAAATCAATGGAAAAAATATCCATGAGTGAGGATTAACAACAACAAAAAAGTGACAAGAGTGGGCATTCTTTTTTAAAAAATATATATTTTTTTATTGATTGCAGAGAGAAAGGGAAAGGGAGAGAGAGATAGAAGCATCAATGATGAGAGCAAATCATTGATCAGCTGCCTCCTGCTTGCCCCCTACTGGGGATTGAACCTGCAACCCAGGAATTGAACAGTGACCTCCTGGTTCATAGGTTGATGCTCAACCACTGAGCCATACCAGCCAGGCAAGAGTGGACATTCTTATATTGTTCCTGATTTTAGAAGATAAGCTTTCAGTTTTTCACCATTAAGCATGTTAGCTATGGGATTGTTACATATGGGCTTTATTATGTTGAGGTATGTCCCTCTATACCTAATCCTCATTGTTGAGAGTTATGTATTTTTAAAATAAATATGTTTGGCCCTGGCCAGTGTGGTTCAGTTGGTTGGGTATTGCCCCATGCACTGCAAGGGTGCCAGTTCAATTCCTGATCAGGGTGGCATATGCCCAGGTTTTGGCCTCTATCACTGGTAGGGGACCAGCAAGAGGCAGCCAATCGATGTTTCACTCTCAAATTGATGTTTCTTGCTCTCTCTCCCTCTCCCTTCCTCTCTAAAAAGCAATAAAAAAATCTTTAAAAAATACATACGTATATATATGTTTGTTCTGGTGAGAATATTCTATGATTAGTAAGATATATTTCAAATAATATTTTCTAACAATGGTAAATCTATTTTGTCACCAATTTTATTGACTTTTATTATTTTAAATTAAAAAATATGAAATCCCCATTAATTTAGGACTGAGTACTAATTTTCCCATAACTTAAGCCAGTAGATTATTTCTAAAAATTATGGCCTTCATTGAAAACTGCATTATCTATTGCTATTTATTTAAATTCTATTCATTGTGATTCTACTAAAAAGTTACTACTTTTGAAATTAAATGAAAATTTATAGCCCTACACTTTCTTATATATCCATTAAATATATGCTTTAAAACATACTGTTAATTAGAGTTATATAATTAGGAAAAGTAGTGTCTGATTAAGATAATTATTGTATTTATATTTTATTAAGACTTTTAAAAGGGTAAAACCAAGCATAAATTGTTGCTGGAGGCTGGGTGCCTTTATATGTGAAGGAAGCATGTAATTTACTTGTGTTGTGAAAGAGACTGGGTTATATTTTTAAGGCTGTGTTTCGTCATTTGATTAACAACTTCATGTGGTGATTTAGTGATTGAAAACCTACAGGCTTATTATGGAATTATTGCCTACGGGGTTAAGAACTCCAAGTTGCATGTACTTCTTTAA